GTGCGGAGGGCACCCAGCTTGTGCAGAGCCTCTGTCCAGTGCACCTGCTGGGTGAGGATGCTCTGGTGCACCCGCTCCTCCTCGGCGTGCACCCTCTCCAGCAGCCGCTGCTCCTCGTTCTCACAGGCCTTCCCCACCAGGAGCAGCCTCTGGACCACCAGCTCCCGCGCCGCGCTGGCCGCGCTCTGCCACGGCAAGGACACAGCAGGAGCATCAGCCTTGCTCCGGCCCTGAGGGAGCCCCAGCTCTTCTGCCCGCGCTCCTGGGGCTCAGCCTTTGGTGTTACTCTGTTAACTGAGCCCAGGTCACAGCACCTGCACCATTCCAGTCCCAAACCTGCCCACTGCCTCCTCAGCCAGCCCTGGTACCTAAGTGACAACCCGCAAGGGACCAGAGTCCTGTCCCTCAGCAAATCTCCATAGATTCTCTGTGTGTGAGAAACAGGAGACTAGGCTGAGACAGCTGGGGGTTCTCAGCCTTAAGGAAAGACACCAGGGAGAACTGACAGCCCCTTCCAGTGCCTAAAGAGGCTCCAGGACAGCTGGAGAGGAACTTGGCACAAGAGCCTGGAGAGACAGGACAAGAAGGAATGACTTCCCACTCCCAGAGGGCAGGGTTAGATGGGATATTGGGAAGAAATTTTCCTTGCAAGGGTGGTGAGTCCCTGGCACAGGGTGCCTAGAGGAGCTGTGGCTGCACCTGGATCCCTGGAAGTGTCCAAGACCAGGCTGGATGAAACTTGGAGCAACCTGGAATAGGAGGAGGTGTCCCTGCCTATGGTAGAAGGATGGAACTGTGCAATCTTTAAGATTCCTTCCAATCCAAACCAGTTTGGAATTCTATGATTCTATCACTGTCCTTTGTCCTCATCCTTAGTGACAGCAAGGAACAAATAAAATAAACCCAGGAATTCTAAGGCACTGATCTTCTTAGGATGTTTGATTGTTTTACACTCACGCCATTGTCTGTACACATTTTCTAGGCAAATGAAGCAGGAACCCCAGGCACACCCTGGCATTCCATTCCAGCCTTCTCCCGCCAGGAGTTGAGCATCCCTGCCGGGAATGGCGAGCAGGGGGCAGGCAGGGCCAGCCCCAGGGACTCACCAGGACGCTCTGGTCTTTGGCAGGCAGCACCTCGTCCACGTGCCGGGCGATGGCCGCGCTCTGCAGCTGGATCCGCTCGCAGCGCTCCACGAGCTTGTTCTGGGACACGGAGCAGCGGGGTGATGGATGCGGGCCTGAGCCCGGCAGCGTCCCCACACCCACACCCACACCTCCCTGCACCACCCCACAGCCAGCCCCCATCCCACGGGGGACCCCTGAACAGCCCCACACCCCACCAGGGCCCCACACCTGCCAGGAGCCCCCCACCCTTGGGTGGGCCCACACCCACCTGGGGCTCCTTTAGAGCACCCAGCTCCCCGTGGGAACCACAGCCTGCAGGGACCCCCGCGGTCACACACACACCCAGGGGCCCCAGACACCCTGTAGGGACCCCTGTGGTCACACACACCCCCAGGGGCCCCACAGACCCTGCAGGGACCCCACACACCTGCCAGGAACCCCACACACCCTGCAGGGACCCCACAGACCACCAGCGACCCCACACACACCCAGGGACCCCACACAGACCCCCAGGAACCCCACACACCTGCCAGGAACCCCACACAGACCCCCAGGGACCCCACAGACCCCCAGGAGCCCCACACACACCCAGGGACCCCACACAGACCCCCAAGGGCCCCACATACCCTCAGCGACCCCACACACCCCACCAAGGACCCCACAGACCCCCAGGAACCCCACACACACCCAGGAACCCCACACAGACCCTCAGGGGCCCCACACCCCCGCCGGGACCCACACCCCGTCCCCAGGGAGCCCCGTATCCCCCCAGGGAGCCCCATATTCCCGCAGGGACGCCCATACCCATCCGGCAGCCCTTACAGCCCCCGGCACACCCGGGCCCCCCACCCGCCGGAGCTCCCCGCCCCTCAGGGCCCCTCTGCCCCCCAGCCCGGGCTCCCCGGGCCGGGCCGGGTCCCGGCGCTCACCCGCAGCCGCTCGGCCCGGGCCATGCTGCGCCCGCACCTGCCGCGGGGGCGGGGGCCCGCCCGGCTCGGGGTCGGCCCCGCCCCGGCCCCGCCGGGAGCGGCCGCGGGCGGCAGGGCGGGACGGCGCCGGGCGCTGAGGGTGAGTGCGCGGCGGGGCCGGGCCGGGCCGCGGGGGCGAACAAACCTTTCTGCACAAACCTGCCGCGGGCACACGGCAATGGAGGGGCTCCCTCAGTTGGGATGGTCCCATCGCCGGGACCCGGCGTGCTGCCATTGACCCTCACGGGGACACCCCCATCACTGGGACCTGAAATGCTCTCCTTGACCCTCACGGGGACACCCCCATCCCAAGGCACCCAGGATACTCCCAGTTAACCCCACAGGGTCACACCCATCCCAAGGGACCCGGCGTGCTGCCATTGACCCTCACGGGGACACCCCCATCAAAGGGACCCAGAATGCTCTCCTTGACCCTCACAGGGACACCCCCATCACTGGGACCCAGGATGCTCCCCAGTTAACCCTCACAGGGTCACTCCCATCATAGGGACCTGGGGTGCTCCCATTGACCCTCACAGGGACACCCCCATCCCAAGAGACCCAGGATGCTCCCATTCAACCCCACAGGGTCAACCCCCCTCACAGGGACCCAGGATGCTCCCGGCTAACCCCATAGGGCCACCCCCATCGCTGGGACCCGGGATCCTCTCCTTGTCCCTCACAGGGTCATTCCCATCCCAAGAGACCCAGGATACTCCCAGTTAACCCCACAGGGTTACCCCCATCACAGGGACCTGATATGCTCTCATTGACCCTCACCCCCATCCCAAGAGACCCAGGATGCTCCCATTTAACCCCACAGGGTCACTCCCATCACAGGCACTTGGTGTGCTCCCATTGACCCTCACAGGGCTGCCCCCATCACAGGGACCTGAAATGCTCTCCTTGACCCTCACAGAGACACCCCCATCACAGGGACCTGGGATCCTCTCCTTGACCCTCACAGGGTCATTCCCATCCCAAGGGACCCAGGATACTCCCATTTAACCCCACAGGGTCACTCCCATCACAGGGACCCAGGATGATCCCATTTAACCCTCACAAGGTTACCCTCATGAATAGAGACTCAGGATGCTCCCATTTAACCCCACAGGGTCACTCCCCTCACAAGGACCTGCCAGCCCCGCTGTGGGGACACACCCAGCTCCAGGAACCCGGGATGTTCCCCATTCTCCCCAAAGCCAAACGCCCTCCTCTAAGGGATGCTTATTCCCCTGTGAGGATGGGGCAGCCCTGCTGGGGTCCCTGTGCTGCTGCTGTGGTTGTTGACATTCCCTATGCCACGGTACAGGTTTCACTGCAGAGCCTGGACAGGTGGAGGCAGCAGCTTGGCTTATTTTTCAAAAGCAATTCAGTAAAAAAGGTGTTTGATTTCTGTCAAGTGATGCATTTTTGGGGAAGGGAGGATAAGGGCATCCTCCAGCATGAAACTCAGGCTGGTGAAGCTTGGTGTGGATCAGTTGTTGTAGGATCCCTGAGTTTTTAGAGCTTTGTGGTGGAGCAGCTGATGGATAAATGTGTGTTGGGATACAGACAGCAAAACCTTGGATTACCATCCTGCCTGAGCGCTGTTCTCATGCAGAATGCAGGAAAATCTGCAGGAGAACAGTGAGACACAGGACAAAGCTCCACCTTTCCTGCAGCCTCCCCTGGTCTCGGGCAGCTCCCTGAGAGCTGCTGTGCAGGTAGGGATGAACATTAACTAACTGCTGGTTGGAAACAGAAACCATCAGAATTAAAAACACAGAATTCCTGCCTTAGTTTTTCCTAGAGTCTTGTTTTGCAACTTCCAGAGTTCTCCCACTGTCAGAGAAAAATCATGTTCCTGAGGGACTGAAACGATTGGGGCACTCAGTCTGATTGAAAGAATAAATTGCCAAATTATCACAGCCCCTCAGCTGTGAGATTGATCATTCCTCACATCTTTGGAACATGTAAACTCATGGATAGAACAGCAGGAGATGAACTAGGTATTACTAATTGCTAATCACAAGGGCTGTCAGGGTAAAATTAGAAAGGGAATTTTGTAGAAAAGAAACGTTTTGCTCAGTGCTTCCAGGATTTGGTTTTGGTTTTCACCTTTTTTTTATTTTTTTTTTATTTTTTTTTTGGTGGGTAGAACCTTCAAGCAGTTTTTTTGCTGGAAAAAGCAGATTGGGTTTTTTCCCCTTATTTTGATTAGCAAAATGCTACAGCCATGGAAGATGGGCATGCCAGCACAGCAGACTAAATCCAATTAGTGTGCCTTGAGCTAAGCAGCAGGCAGTTATTGTCTGTGACAATTCACTGTCACTGAGACTGGTTTCTGCTCTGTGAGGACATGGGGAGAGGTGCTGCTCCTCACCTGGATGGATCTGCAGGGTCTGGCTGTGCTGACCCCTCTGGGGAGGGACCAGCCTGGCCCCAGCTTGGCCAGTAGGTGTTGGCTGAATGCATCTGGATTATCCACCTGGTCTTGCCTTGCCTGGGACTGGTGTATGGACATGGAAACTCTTCCCAAAATGTTTCTCAGCTCATGGAAAGATCACTTCAAGTACTGCCAGGCTGGCTCAGTTGAGCTGGGGCTATCTGTGCCTGTACTTGGTCCCACCAGTTGCTGTACAAGCTTCAGTCTGAAGATGTTTGCCTTCACCAAGCCAAAAACTGGGATCTCCAGGATGTATGGAAGTCCAGACCAGATCCAGGAGTAAGAGGAGGTGTAAAGAATGACAGGCAGCAGCTCCATCTCTGTTGTGGCCTCACCAAGCTTGGTTATTTTTAAGCTGAGTGTGAGGTGCCAGTGACCTCACCCTGCTGCTAGCTTTGCTGTAAGCTAAAGGTTCCATTCAGAACCTCCAGATGTCCCCTCCTCTGAGGTTTTCTCCTTAGTCTGAATGGAGTAGGATGTAGATAACACATTACCAGCACCTAATCCTGTATGTGTGACAAACAGAAACCCCCCTGGATCCCTGCTGGTGGCGTGTCCCCTCACCCACAGGTCGTGTCCCCACAGCAGGTGCCCGAGGTGCTGATGTGACACCCACCACTGGTTGCTGGTTGCCAGGACTATGGGGAAACTGCAGAGTAAAATCAGCTTCCACACCACCAAATACAGGTAAAGCAACGCTGGGAGATCAGGCTTGTTAATAAACCAGGTGTGAGAGGGAAGAGAGCACAAATGAGCAGAAAATACGGCAAGCACAGGGGTTGAGTTTCATTATTGGATGTTTGAACCAGGTTTTCATTTCTAATCATCGCTTATAAAGCCTGCTCAGCTTTTTGGGGGGATTGAAATCCCAAGTGTCACTCACAGGAATGGCCAAGCACATAACCATGGCCAGTGGTTGTGCTCTGTGATGGCTGAGGCAGAGCTCTGAGGGGGAGCAGCTCCAGGAGTGGCTCTTCGGCCCAAATACCCAAACTGCTTTGTTGTGTCCTCAGAGCCTGCCACCAGCCTTCATGGCCAGGATGAGATCATTCAGTCCCTGGCAGCAGGGAGAGGGATCTGTGCCTGGAGGGCAGCACAGGGTGGCAGCTGGGGGCCAGGGAGGTGTCACAGCAAAGAGCAGCAGGGCCTGATGCATGTGAGTGTGGAGGCTGATGAGGTCAAAATCTCTTTTCTTCTTTGAGCCAGCACAGAGTGAGCAACAATTAAATATTCAGCAGCTCTGGAGCTGGGATAGGTCTGCTCCATCTCACTCACAGCCTCTCTCTGGCTTCCCAAGACAGATGTCATGCCAGAAGATGCCAGAGGTGGCAGGGAATGGCCCCTGACCTCTCCCACCAGCAGCTTCCCACTGCTGTCCCTGTTCCTCTGCAGGGCTGATGGCTCCGTGGGACAGACGGGACCTGCCAGTGCCTCCCAGGAGCACAGCCCTGCTCACACCGACGCTGTCACCTCTGTGGCTGCTCTCCAGCCAGACCTGTGTGTGTCAGGAGGAAGGGATAAGGTAGGTATCCGCTGGGACAGGAAAATACATCAACAGCTTCAAAAGTAAGGTTGAAATGTGAGCTATGAACATTTCTGTGGAGGGTAGCTATGCCGGTCCCTGGATTTAGAAAGGAAAAATGAGCTTAGGGTGAGGGCACACCCTGAAGCACATGGAATCAAATTTTGCAACCTCTCCAGAGCTCATATCACATCAAATGCTCCCACCCAGGCTTGGGATCGCCAGACTGACTCTTACGTCACCTGTCTTTAAGGACAGTTGTGCATGCTCTAGGAGCTGAAAACCAGAGGAACCTGTTCCCTGTCCTGTGGACTGTGCACAAGTCTTGGTAAGACATATCCTCCCTGCCCTGCTCTCATGCTGACCCCTGTCCTGTCCCTGCAGAGCGTGGCCGTGTCCAGCTGGAGGTCAGGGGCTGCCCTGCGCCGCTTCACCGGCCACGAGCGCGAGGTCACCAAGGTGAGAGCTGGGGAGCCAGGAAGGATGGAGCACTGGTTTGTCATCCACAAGAAAGGTGGGATCAGGGTATTCTGGTATCCAGCTGGGGATGTTGGGCTTGATGACCTTAAAGGTCCTTTCCAAACTTAACGATTCATGATTCTGTGATCAGAACACATTAGGTTTTTCCAAAGGTCCTGACAGGTACTTTTGGAAGCAGCATGAAGTGTTGCATTCAGACTAAATAGGGCTGCAGGAGCTCTGGATGTGAGCTTGTCTTCCCCTCCAAGAGACTGTATAGCAAAAGCTCAGGATGAATTATGAGGTTAAGATTTTGATGTAGAGATGACATTCACTTTTCTTCAGGCTTCATTCTGCTAGAGTTGACATTATTCCATAAATCAGCCATGCCTGGCTGATATATTCTGGGAATACCCATGCCACGTGCCATAGCTGGCATATTCTGGGAATAGCAGGGCTTTAATTTCCTTTCTGGGATTGGGATGACAAAGCCAAGCAGCTTCTGGGAGAGCAGACGTGCAGAGGAGCTGTAGCTGTGTGTGGTGTGGCCAGCACATCTCTGCAAGGGACAGCCCCAGTGGGTCTCCTGGGCTGTGGGTACTGCAAAGACAAAGGGGGCTTTGTTCACCTCAGTGCTCAGAACAACTGTGCACTGGGCTCATTTGGGTTTGTGAGGACACTTTTCCTATAGAAGGAATGGTTTCTAAGAACAAGACCTGAAAGCAACTATCCACCATCCCTGGCTCTCTGGGAACAAGGAGCAGAGCTGAGAGGCCAGGCTCTCCCCAGTCATGTTCCTGCATGTGCTGGGCTGTGGCAGGACAGCAGCAGAGTTCTGCTCTCCCTGTGAACTGGGTGGGAGGATGAGCAGCTTCTCCTTCTGGCCCTTGGCAGGTCACCTCAGCCCTTGACTCCAACAGAGTCTTCAGCGCATCCCGGGACAAGACAGTGATGATGTGGGAGCTTCATGGGACTTCAGGGCCAAGCCAGCACTTCCCAGGACATGACCTGGTTGTTACTGGACTGGCTGTGAGCCCAGGTGAGGGATGACAAACTTCCAGTCCCCAGGGACTGGCTGACAGTGTTTCCTGCCTTGTTTTGGATGCTAACTTGTGGTTGCAGATGCCTCCCAGCTGTGCACAGGCTCCCGGGACAACACCGTGTGCAAGTGGGACACCGAGACCGGGGAGTGTCTGGGCAGAGCTGTAATCTCCAGGAATCTGGTAGGATCTGCTGGCTCCTCAAATCCCATCCCACCATCCATCTCCCTGCCTACATGGTTATTTCACACGTGAAGCTGTGCAGAGAGAATTTTCTGGGAGCTTGGTGCCAAAGGGAGCCTTTGGGACACTGTGTATCTGGGCAAGCTCAGCTTGAGGCTGGTTATTCTTCTCCAGATAACAACAAACCCAGGAGCACAAAGGTACCAAAGGACTCCTGGCAATTTATCAATGCTCCAACTCAGAGCTATTTGGAAGCACACAGAGTCATGGAATCACTGAGGTTGGAAAAGACAGAGTCCAGCCATTCTCCCAACACTGCCACATGTCACTCATGTCCCCAAGTGCCACATCTACATGGCTTTTAAATCCCTCCAGAGATGGTGACTCCACCACTGCCCTGGGCAGCCTGTGCCTGACCAGCCTTTCAGCAAAGAAATTTTCCCCAATATGTAACCTAAACCTCCCTTGGCACAACTTGAGGCAATTTCTTTTCATTGCCTGTTTCCTGGGAGCAGAACCTGACCCCGACCTGGCTGCACCCTCCTCTCAGGGAGTTGTGGAGAGCTGGAAGATCCCCCTGAGTCTCCTTTTCTCCTGGGTGAACAAGCCCTGTGCAGTGGGGCTGCATTCCCTCCTGTACCAGCCCAGAGCTGGTGTGGGTACCACCCCCTGCTGCTGTCCCTGCTCCCTTGGCTCTGTGTCCTGCTGCTGGCACCTCCCAGCCTCAGTCACCCCCAGCAACCCCACTGGCACTGGACCTGGCAGGGGAGCAGAAAAAGTCTTCATCCAACATTTCCAGCTCCCAACCCAGGAGTGGGAGGAGGAGGATGAGAGCTCAGTGGTTCCATCCTCAGGCAGACACAGCCAAGGCTGCACACAGAGGTGGCTCCTGCTCATCCTTCCCTTTCAACAGGTCACACACCTGTGCTGGGTTCCTGGGGAGCCTTATGTCATCCAGACCTCAGAGGATAAAACCACCAGGTAAATTCTCCCTGTGGCCAGAGAGCAGGAAGGTACAGCCTGAGGCACATGGGGCTGTCGTGGGGTTGGTTGTCGTGACCCCTGCTGGTGTGGCTAAAAGCCACCTAACAGCTCACCTGGGCCTTGGAGTGTGACCTCCAGCCAGGGACAGGGGCTGGGAGCAGCACTGGGTGGTGACTGCGACTGAAAAGGAGAATTTGTGTGACAGAAAGCTGGAGAGTGATCCAGCATGGATAAAAGCAGGGATGCCAGGGCAGAGCTGTGGGCACAGCCGGGGCGTGCCAGAGGGCACAGAGGGAAACCATCGCGGTGATGATGCCTCAGGGCCCCCCTGCCCTCTGCTGTTCCCTGCAGGGTGTGGGACAGCCGGGAGCTGCAGGTGGCCCACACGTTCCCAGCCAAGCAGCACATCCAGACGTGCTGTGACGTGAGCCAGGACGGGCGGTACTGCCTCAGCAGCAGCAGCGGCTCCGCCGGCCACGGCGCCGAGGCCACCGTGAGTGCCGGGCAGCCAGGCCTGGGCTCCTGCCCCCTCCCCTCCCACGTGCACTGCAGACAGAGAGAGCAGCCCATCCCTGCTCGAGGGTCTGAGTGCTCCCACTGCCTTGGCCTTGGCCTGGTGTCTTCCTGCCTTTCCCTTTGGGAAGCTTTGCTCGGGGAATATCAGCAGTTATTCTTCCTGAATAAATCACTGGGATTTGTTCCATCCCTAGAAGTGTCCAAGGCCAGGTTGGATGGGGCTTGAAGCACCCTGATCTAGTGAATGGCATCTGTGCCCATGGCAGGGAGTTGAAACAAGGTGGTCTTTAAGGTTCCTTGTACCCCAAACCAGTCTGGAATTTCATTTCAGTAAAGCACACAGGGAGAAAACAATGGATGCCATTGAAGAAGACAAGGTTCTTGCAGAAAGCTTGTAAGGTGTCCCTTGCTCCAAGTGTTCCCAAACCAGGGATTCAATCCTGCAGGTTTACAGCCCTGTGTGTGAAGATCAAGAGGATGAACCTATCCCATCCCAGGGTAGGCAGGGCTGAGGATGGGAGCAGGCTGGACACGTCTTATCTGCCTGCACAGTTTTAGCTTGTTTGCCTTAATGGGTGTGGCCATGTGCTCAGTCACCAGTGCTGAAAATCCTTTGAGCTTTGATGTTCTCCAGGGCTGTGAGCATGAGCAGGGACAAGGGCAGTAGCCATGGCCTTTGAGGATTTTTGAGGAGCTCTTTTATCCCAACCCACCTTCCTGTCGCAGTAAAACATCTCTGTGCTGGCAGAGCTGGGGCTCTACCACTGCCTGTTCCTGCAGCTCTGGGACCTGAGGCAGACCAGGGGCCGAGTGTGTGAGTACAAAGGACATTTCCAGACCACCACTGCGTGTGTCTTCCTGCCCCGGGGCCCTGCACTCGCCCCCAGCATTGCCACATCCTCCAGCGATAGCACGGTGAAGGTCTGGGACCAGGACACGGCAGGTAGGGGAGGCTCCTGCCCACTCCACCTTCCTTTCTCCTGGATACAAACCCATTTCCCTCAGTTCTGTCTCTTCGTGGTGATGGGCAGGGTGACTGCTGCAATCTCTGGAGTTTACTCCAAGCCAGCTGCAGGGCAGGGTGGAGAAATGGCCCAGAGCAAACCCAGGGCTCAACAAACAAGAAGGAGCTGCATGTCAGAGATGACAGGGATCTTCCTCAGCTAAAAGGAACAACTACCAGACAGCTTTTAAAGATACATCCAAGTTAAGCTATGAAAGGACAAATGATACAAAGAAAAAAGTACAGGGGAACTCCAGAGATTTCTGCAGGTACAAGTAGACATTTATAAGGAATAGAATTTGTACTTGAGGGCAAGAAGGATGGTTAGCCAACACCCTTATTCTGGGTGTCCTCTTGAAGGGAAATCGTGGGCGTTTTGGGGTTAAAGCTGGTGGTGAGGGCGAGTCCCTCCCTGGGTTGGACACAAAGGGGTTTGTTTGCCTGCCAAGCCCTGCCATGGCAGCAGGTTCTTAGTAACCCTTGTGCTGCAGGCAGAGACCTCTTGGGAGCTGTTCAGGTTCACAGCATTAGACACTCCCCAGGGCTAAGCCCCTCTCCAAGGGAACTTATTTAAGATGGGATGAAAATAGAAACCTGGGGCTCTCCTGCAGAGAAGGACCTTCTGTTCTCTTACCCGTTCCTTTGCCTGCTGCCTGTGCACCCAGGGTGGCTGTGGGGCCGGCAGCAGTTTTGATCCTCTTGCCTTCCCAGCTGGGTGAGCCATAATCCAGCTGCTCTGGGAAGGGTGCAGGTCACCAGGAGAGGCAGCTGCCTGTGGGTCCAGGCCAAGTGCAGCTCTGTTTGCAGCTCAGCCTGAGGCTGGGGTCTCTGCACAAATTGTCTCAGGGAGTTTAATAACAGATACAAACAGAAAGGCTCATGTGGCACTGGATATTGTAAATCTTATTTCTCTTTCCCATTTGGAGATTCATCAAAACCGTGTGGTGAGTGTAGCACAGCCCTTAGGAAAACTGTAAGAAATGTGTGAGAAAAAGGTAGGTTGGAAATGGCTCCAGAGCCCTGCAGCTCTGCCCAGTGCAGGCTCTAGGTCCATCCTGCCCTGCTTCCTCTGGGAAAGGACAGAGCCCGACCACAGTCTGGATCCCTCTCAGCCACGGCCTGACTGGGCAATGCACGGGGGCCCATCCCAAGGTGTTGGATGTGTGGATCCAGGCAGCAGAGGTGGGAGATTGGTGTGGCTCAGCAAACCCAGCATCCCTCCCTTGTCCCTTCCCTTGCAGCCTGCCTGGCCACGCTGTGCCTCGAGGGCTCGGGCTCACTGGCCTCGCTGGCCGCCTGCGACAGCTCCACCCTGCTCTGCGCCAGCTCCAACTCCGGCATCCATGTGCTCCGGGTGAGGGGCGGCGCAGAGCCGGCCCTGGAGGAGGTGGCAGCGTT